TGTGTATAAAGTTATTGTCTCTCAAAAGAAAGAGTCGACTCTGAATCATTGAAATGAGTCATTTTTAAAATGAATCCCAAGCCGTTTCATGTTGAAGTCAACATGAAACATTAGCATATTGCCTGCCCATTTGTTGCGCACGCAGACCTGGAAAAACTTGATTTTCACATTGGTCTGAATGAAAATGCAAATGTATTCTTTGCCACTAGGTGCCAAAAAGCGGACACAAAGGTAACAAAGTAGCACTGCTCTCACAAACGCTGCTTTATCAGGTATTACAGGTATGATGAAATGGAAATGAAATTGACCAATCGGACCACTCACTGCAGATTAGTGTTTGGAAAAATGAATCGCTGAGTCAATTGTTTGGGAGTCGTTGAGCAAATAATGTAAAAATAAATGCATATTATAAGACAATGAAAGTGTTTTTTGACCTTGCATGCATGTCAACCTGTTGTTGGGGACTCCCAAAACCTAAATATGAACCTTTCATAATCATAACCCATAATAGGGGCACTTTAATGACAATGTTTTTATCTAACATAACCCAAACACACAGTAGATTTTATTTTACATGTTATTTTACAAAGACAGTATTATAAAGTATATCTAAAAGTCTATCTAACCCAGGTGAAAAAAGTACACTTCCATAATGTACTTAAAGTGCTCTATTTTCGTGCACTAATTTTGTACTTAATATACTAAAATGATTCTTTATTACTTCTTAAGATAAACTTAAGATCATCAAAGTCACTCAACTGTGCTATTTTGGGACACCATTAATATAAACTAAAATGAGCTTTTAACATACTATCTCTATTTAAAAAAAAATGTATTTAGTCACCGCGTGTAGTACACTTGAGTGTACTAATGTATGAAAAAGATGGTTCAAGTGTACTACAAGTGGTAACTAAATAAATTTTTTAAATACAGAGACAGTATGTTAAAAGTGTATTTTAGTTCTTATTCATGGTGTCCCAAAATAGTCAAATTGAGTACACTTAGATGATCGTAAGTTTATCTTAAGAAGTACTATTGAATCATTTTTAGTATATTAAGTAGAAAATTATAGTTTGCAAAAATAGAGCACTAAGTACATTAAGGAAGTGCACTTTTTTCACCTGGGAAAGTCCAATTATTAATTTTCTGAGTATTTTCCTGTGCATACAAATTTGAGCTGAAGGCAAAACTTGAGCTGCAGAGTCCATGTTGCTGCTTATTTCCCAGGAGAGATTAACATTCCCAATGAATTCCCTACATTACCTCTCCAACATAACTCCACACAGCTCTGGGGCTCCTAAAAGGTGAGAGATGCCCCTACAGATAACACCGCCACATTCACATGCACTGCATACTCACTGGGCCAATGTCTAAGGATCTGTTTTAGACTGGGATTCTCATCAGGGGCCAAGTTACTGGGCACAAATGTATAAAAAGGGTTTGAGGGGTGTGTTCAGCTGTGTCCAATGGAAAATTCTTGGATTCAAGCCATGTGAGGTACACAGGGACAGCGAGAAAGAAAGGAAGAAATAGCAGAAAGTAACCAGCAGAAAGTTCTAGCTCATTTATTTTTAGTCAATCTGTGTTTTGTGGTGTTAATGATTCATGGTGAGGGGACAGAAATAGGGGAAACAGAAGGTGTTGGCGCCACCTTGGCCACACTCCAGTAACCCTGCAGTGGAGTAGCTTGACACAGGCAAGAGGTCGCAAGAAAAGCAGACAGGAAACAAAGAAAGAAAGAGTACAGGAGAAGTACTATTTACAATCAACAGCAGTGCGTGAGACAGAGAGAAAGTATAACAGTGTTTGAAATTCAGTTAGGGAGGCGGACTTAATTTGAGAGTAAACCGAGGAGGTGCTGACTCACGTCACTGGAGACTTTGGACAATTAAGTCCAGACAAACATAACCTCCCCTCAGAGGCGAACACAGACAAGTCTCTGTTGATGTCACCATCAACGATGGCATATGATTGAGACAGCCACTTCAAGAGGTGGTGTCACAGGGAACATCTACTTTGAACCAGACTTATTCCCATTTTATTGAAAAGCTCCCGCAGGAAGAAACCTGGAACGGTATAAGAGGTCGAGCACTGGACGGACAACAGTGTGGAGGAAGTGCTTCCATGATCGGGATGCATGTCAAAGTGCGACAAATTTAATCTGCTGTCTCTTTTTACCAGGACTAAAGGCACCAGGCACACTTAGCTAAGCTTCTGCCCTTCAACTTTTGGACTATTAGAACTGAAACTGAAGGAACATTTTTATAGAAATGTCCTCAAAATAAGGTGTGTACTTGAACAATGCCTCCTCTTTCAGAATGAGGACGGTCATCTGATTTGGAATGCTGATATAGCCGATAAGCGCACATATCTGAGCTGGAGGGTCAGTGTTGCACATCAGCAGGAGAGAGAGAGCTTCTCTTCGGTGCACTAAGCCTCATCACCTTACCTGCATACCGGAGAGCGAGAGAGAGGGAGGAGGAAAATCAAAGGGAAAGGAACATCCAGTTCTAGACCAAACAAGTTTGCAAAACATGAGCAAAAGGGATTTAGGTTCAATGAGGACATTGGTTCGGTGCCAGGTTCAAGATCGCTACGAAGACTGAAAACATCCCAGGGTGAGGTCAGGATAGTGGATGTGTCCCAAAAAAAGAAGACAGAGCCACACAGACATAATTGAAGAGACAGACAAGAAAAGATGCCTGAAAACAAGCAGACAATCCAGCGGACTGGAAGCTATCTGTCTCACTCTGCTTACAGGAAGATAAAAAGGGTGCTGAGCTTCAGAAGACGTGAGTATTAAATATTAGGCAGGGAGAGCGCACACCATCACACACAGAGGTAGATTTTGGTGCAGTGCAGCTGCAGCGTGCATTAATCTTAAAGCTGCTTTTTAGCAGAAAATTATTATTGGTTTATGCATCTTTCCTATTTCTGTGGACTCAGCATGATCTTCAATTTATGCTTTTGAGGTTAACCGCATTTATAGCAAGTGCTCTTGCTATTTCAGCACATCTCAGTTAACAAAATTAGGTAGCTAAGGAGCTAAATGGGGTCTGACGCTGACAGCTCTATACCTGTATTTTACTATCACAGGTGTATTTGGTCAAAGGTTGGAGGAGACAGTCCTGTATGAGAGGAGGTATGGGGATCACATGGCTCCTTTGGTGGTGGAGCAGTGTGTTGATTTCATCCGAGAGCAGGGGCTCACCGAGGTGGGACTCTTCAGGCAGCCCGGCCAGGCCACCCTGGTTAAAGAGCTACAGGAAGCTTTTGATGCTGGGGAGAAACCATCTTTTGACAGGTAAGAGATTGACGTTAATGGACACGAGGTACAACAGATTAGTTTAAATCAGCATAATATACATTTGCAATTATTTGTCTTCACCAGGCATAATACATAAGGCATTACATAAGGCGAACCAGTGATTTGAAAACTATACATGCTACCTAACAAGATTACCATTCAGAATTCATCATACTGAATTTACTTGAAAATGCTTCAAAATTCCAATTCAGTTTCTGAATTTTAAGTGAGATAGCAAACATAATACAGTCTAAGGAATTTAAAGGGGTCATTGATGCGATTTCAATTTTTCCTTTCTCTTTGGAGTGTTACAAGCTCTTGGTGCGGAGCTGATCCGTGCTGGTTGCTGAGTAATACTACAACTTTGCGCTGTGGATCGCCAGATCGGCTTTCACCGTGGACGAAGCGGAGTCCAGCCCGGAGGCGAC